TAGCTAGTCCAGTCTCTTCATTTTAAAGATGAGGAAACTGAAGCCAAGTAAGGCTAAGCAGTTTGTCCACAAGGAGTGAGCAGTGTTGGCCTTTGACCCCAGGGCTACATTCCAAATCCAGTGCTCACATATAATAGGAGTACCCATTTAGTTGTAACTCCAGTGCCCTAAAGTCAAAGACTTTATAGAATTGAGAACCAGGAAGAAACTAATCACCTTATCTAAGCCCCTCATTTTATAAAGAGGTGATAAAATCAGGCAGGTCACTTGTCCCCTCAGAGTTTTAGTTTTCTCATCCCCAAAATAAGGAGCTAGACCAGATGATGACTGAATTCCCTGCTAGCAAACTCCTATGAGAATAATACTAGGGATTTCTTTAGAATACAACTAACAGATTTCTCACAGGTTGTGAGCTTCCTTGAAACGACTCTGTGAGGTAGGTTTAAAAAAGTATTATCCCCATTTTACAGATGGAGATGCCAAAGCTTAGAGAGGTTGGCAGAAAGGTCACATCTAGAAGATATTAAAGTAGCACCCAATCCCAGCTTTCTTGAGCAGAGGTTCATTGTTCTTCTCATGACATGAGCAGGCCCAGGCATTTGTGATATACAAGTGCTTTAATAAATATAAAACTATACCTATGTGAAGGGTTATTCCATAGTAATGAGAAATGGGAAAACTTTGTTGTCAAACCTCCTCGGGTACCAATTTTAGTAAGGAAGATAATTCTATTTAACACATTAGTTGTCTACTAGTGTGTTTGAGTTTTCTGTACCTCACGTACACACTTCCTGTAGTCTTGCTTATGTAGTTGATTGGCTTGACAAAACTTTCCTTAGCTCGCATTACTAAAGTGTAACTGTATCAATAAGTGTTATAGAAAATAATCTTTTAAGAAATAAGGTAGATTTATAGGCTCTTTCAGGTTGGTTTCCCTGGGGCTCATGGTGGACCAAAGCTCATGTCTTTGATGGGTCAAGACCGGGAGAGAATGAAATTGGCTTGAAAATGCTTGGAAAGGCATTTTAAGGACAGATAACCTCCTTGAGGCCTCCTTATCCATTTAGCCTTGAGCTAAGTCAACAGGTGGTACCCATCAAGTTACCTAAGAGAAGTTGCACTAAAGATGGTAGGGTGATTTAGCCTGAAGTTGAGAAGATGTGGTGAGTGCTGGGTAGGTCGAGGCATGATTGCCATCTTCAAATATCTGAAAGACTATTAGGGTAAAGAGGAATTAAGCATGTTCTGTTTGACCCCAGAGGGAAGAACTAGGTAGTTGACAAGTAGGCAGGCAGATCTTGGTTTAGTATGCTAATGAAATTAACATTTATATCTAAGGCAGTTATTCAATAGAACACAAGTCAGAATGGGTCTGTCACAACTCTGCCGCTAATTAGCTATATCATTAAACTCTGGGCTATAGTTTTTCCATCTGTAAGATGAAGGAGCTGGACTAGAACTTTAACATCCCTGGAATTCATTGGTCTTGATCTAGTGCTTTAAAAATCATAAGATCTCTTTCCTCAAAATACACCCCCATGATGTAGGTTAGTACAAATATATTATCCCCATTTTACAGATAAGGAAATGACTGCTCTTAGAAATGAAGTGACTTAGCTATAAGTACCCGTTAAGTAACCAGCAGAGCCTGGATTTGAACCTAGATTTTCTGATTATTTAGTTATTTAGTGTGCTTCTTTATTAACATTGATGGCTCCTATTTCTTTAGCACTTTAATGTTTAGAAAGTACTTTCCTTACAACTCATTGTCACTGAAAGATAGTCAAGTAGCAGCTATATAGCCTTCTTTAAGCCTAATGCTGTAGAGGGGTTTACTGCATTGGAGGGAGGTTAGATTAATCTCCACAGCAGGGATTCATAAACCATTTTTTGTGTTCTGGACCTTTTGGGCAGTCTGAAGCCTATGGACTCCTTAATTTATTAATCATAAAATAAGATTACAGAAGAAATCAATTATAATGAGATAATAAAAATCAAGTTGATGAACTCTAGGTTAAGAACCCCTGCTTTCTTCCAGCTTAGGTTAATGATCTTTCTGCTCCTCATTTCATATTTTATAGAATATTGTCCAAAGCACAGGTGTTTAGATGTACAAAATATATTTCTTTCAGAAAAACTTCTTGCTGGAAGGTATTGGGGCTGAAATAAAGTAAATATTAATTGGGAGAAAAAGAATGCAGAGCAGTCAGTGGGTGCTCATTTGTTTGCAAGGAAGTATTTTTCCCAACTTTTGTTGCTAAAAGAAGAGGCATTGTGATGTCATATATTAAAAAGCTAAACCTGGAGCCAGGAAGATGGGGTTTCAAGCCCCTACTCTCACATATTCTTGGCTATGTGACTCTGGCTGGACAAGTTACTTAGTCCTTTAATTACGCCGGTAGAAGGAGTTTCTTTAGTCCATGCCAATGAAATCCCAGGTCCAGCCTTTACCCTTAGCCCTTTGGTGTTTAAAAAGGCCCAAAGAGAAAACATAACAGTTCAAGGTTCTATAATTTGACAGCTGAGTTTTAGTTAGACTCCTCTTTGTTCTCTTGTGTAAGTTAGCTTTCGGTCTCTGTGGTACTGATGGAAAACGTGGTTTCAGGTCCTGGCTGTATTCCTAATTTGCTGTGTGACCTGGGATAATTCATTTCCTGTCTTTAGACCCCTATCAAATAAGGAGAAAAATTCCTGCTCTGCCTCCTTCATAAGATTTTTTTTTTAAGGATCAGCTGAGCATATGAGTAAAAATGTTTTTTAGCAAAATAAAGTGTTATACAAATTGTTTTTTATTGGAACATATCGGTCATACATAATTATATATTGTTGTTGGGCCATTCTAGTTAACTGAAGATTAGCCATAAAACCCTTTGTTTTTCCTTTCTGTTGAAAGTCTAAAATACTTGAATCTACTTTCCTGCCTTAGAAAGTGAAGTGGACTGACCAGAAGTAGATCTTCCTCTTGAGGGTGATGATCTTTCAAGGCCTTTGGGGTATCCTTCTGAATAAGGTGTAGTAGAGTGGATTAAATTTGAACTAAGTTTGGTCTCCCTTTCAACATTAATTTTTTAAACTGAATCTTTGCTATGAGCATGTTTTCTTGTTTGCTGATTACTTCTAAATACAGAGCATAGAATCACCACTGCTATTTCTTTGGATTCCTGGGTAGGTTTGATTTAGTGGGCTAGTTGGTGGTATGTATGGTTCTCTATTAGAGTGTTGGCATCCCCATTTTATTAGATGTTATTTTAGAAAGAACATTGGACTTGGAAACAGAGAACCTGACTTCAAATCCTGGTTCTGCTACATATTACCCTATGTGGTCTTGGGAAAGTCTTTCCCTTTTTGGGCCTCAATTTTCTCATTTGTAACTGAGGGTATTAGACTAGAGAGCAGTGTGATGTAATGGAAAGAGTGCTTCAATCAGGAGAGAACTAAGTTTAAATCCCACCTCTGTCGCTCAATATGTGACCATAAGCAGGTCATTTAATCTTTCAGTTTTCTTGTCTTTAAAATGGGGATAGTAATGTGTTTAGTACCTACTTCTTGGGGTTTTTGGCAAGGATCAAGTGAGACAAAGAATGTACAACCTTAAAGTGCTATATAGATATCATCTAATATGATTATTTCCCTTCTCTGTTCCTTTCCATCTGACTCCTATGATCCTACAGATGAAGAAACTGAGAGACTCAGAAAGGTGATGAGCTTGCCCAATATTCTACAGCAGATAAAATGGTGGAAGAAGGACCAGAGCTTCAGTCTATTGACCTTTCTTCAGGGTGCTCTGTACTACTTGGTTCTGTCTCTCTTACACAAGCTTCATCTAGCCATTTTGTACATTTAACTTTTAATTGCTGGGGGTATTGGAACAATAAAAAGCACCAGCAAGTGGCTTTTGGAGGTATTCTAATTAAATATCAAATGTCTGAGTACAGGATGAAGGTGATGTGGTTAGACAAGTTCATCTAAAAAAGAGCTAGTTAAGTGGACCACAAGCTCAATATGAACCAGTCTGATGAGACAGGAAGAAAAAAAAAATAGGGGAAAAACCAAACTGTCTTGGGGTTAATGGAGAGTGTCTGGAAGAGGAGATAATATATTCCCATTATCTTTGGTTCAGACCACATCTGGAATACTGTGTTCACTTGTGGGTGCTGAATTTTAGGAAGGACATAAAGACACTTAGGGGAGAAAAACTAGAATAGCAAGGAGACTGGAGACCATATCATACAGGTATCATTTGAAGGAACTGAGATGTTTTGTCTAGAGATTAGGTTATTTGGGGATGGAGGTGGGGTGGATATGACAGTATGTTCAAGCATATAAAGGGTAAAAAAGGAATTGACCCCAGAGCGAGGAATTACAAGCAGTGAGTGGAAATTTCAGAAAAGTAGATCTAAAGTTAGTGTCCGGAAGGGGCCCTTGACTCCTCTCAAAGCTTAGCTCAAGTGTTGCCTTTTAAAAGAGGCTTTTTCCAATTTCTCCCAGTTGTCAGAAATTATTATACAGGGTGTCTCAAAAACCTCCATAGAGTTTTAGGCTTTAATAGTTTAAAACTATACCAAAGCTTTTGGGATACCTTATATTTATTTTGTATGCCTGTTATATTTCCTTCTCACTACATGTATTTCTCCCCAGTAGAATGTAAGCTCATTGAGGGCAGGGAATGGTTTTGGGTTTTTTTTCACTCTAGTCCCAGGGCCTGCCATAGTTCATGGCATATAGTAAAAAGGTGCTTAATAAATGCCTGATGAATTTAATTGAATTAAGCAATTAGATGTGTAAAAAGTAGAATGGGCTGCTTTGGAATATAGTGAAGATAGTGACATCCTCTTTCCTGGAGGTATCCAATTAGAAGTTGGATGACCCCTTGTCAAGGAGGTAGAGGGTTTCCTGTTCAAGTAGAGGTTGGCCCTCTGAGGGTCCTTCTGACCCTAAGATTCTGTGAAAACTTAGGTTACCTGCTTTACCCAATAATGTCCAATATGTTCTTGTTTCAGATCCTGAAACAGATGAAAAATTGGCTACCTTAAAGAAGACCAGCTGGCGAGGGGAGCTGGAGCCCTTTCAACTGTGAGGAGGAAGTTCAATCAGCCTTTGCAATGTACTTAAAGATAGGTCTGATAGAAACAAAATTGTTAATGTTTAAAAGTGAAGAATGCTACAGTCAAACCCTTCCTGAAGTGAGGGCTTTAGGAAGACCCTGGATAAGCAGATCCCCTGGCTCCCAGGAGGTGCACTGTAAATCTTTCCTATCTCTCTGGCATAGTCTGTGAAGCCCTTGTGATGATGATCGCTGTCGGGGAGAGGGTCCGGGCCTTTTGGGGAAAAGGAACATTCCCAAGGACTGCCAGACCTCAGGGGCCCATCGACCAGTTCCACAATCTCATTTTGGTATTTCCCTTTTCAGCTTCAAAGGGCCTGTCCAGAGCAGGGCCACTCTAGTGGCTAAGAACCCAGAGACATCTGGATATTATTCCGAATGACCTGTAAGTCTGTGAATCTATTCCCAGTAGTTTGTTTCTTATCTCTCCATGCCGGAACAGAGAGAGCTTTGAGAACAGGGTTGGTGAAGTTTATTAAGCAGTTAGAAAAAAGAAATGTGACTACATCCCTTGTTTTGGCACACGTTAAGATAGTTCTTGTATCAAATCAAAGAACATTGGATTTTGAAGACTACTGACTAGCCAAGTGACCTTAAAGAAGTCACTTTTCCTCCCTGGGCCTCAAGTTTCCTCATCTATTAAATGAAGGGGCCTGACTGGATGATCTCTCAGGTCCCTTCAAGCTCTAAATCCTACAAAATATTCCAGGTACTTTCCCGATTCCCTCCTACCCTAGCCTAACACTGTAGAAAAGATAGAGAGTGCTTACTGTATAACTGAAGGCCCCAGAGGGTAGACATTACTGTATAATAGAAGGCCCCAGAGGGTAGACATGAACTGCCAGGTCATCTTGAACTGGTATTTGCTCATGCTCCTACTCTTCCCTTTTGCAGGGTCAGGATTCTCAACAGATTGGGGAACTCAGCCTTGGGTCACTGACCTCCGTCCCCAAACCTCATTAACAGCCCATTTCCTCACTCCCAAAAAGTACTGAGTGATAGAATGTCATATTAAGAAGTTATCAAGTCCAAATTTCTATGATATCTCTGACACAGGGTCATTCCTCCTTCATTTGAACACCTTCAGTGTTGGGGAAGCTCTTACCCAAGGTAGCCCATTCCATTGTTGGACAGATCTTATTTTTAGAACACTTCTGAGGACATCTGTTCTTCTAGTGCCATCCCGGCATTCACAAACAAGGAATCTGAGGTTCAGAGAGAGTGACTTTCCCCAAGATCACACAGCTAGCTAGTAGTGGACAATTAGAAATGTGTCAGTGATGGATTGTTAAAAATACATTAGACTTGAAGTGAAGAGACCTGGATTCTAGTCCCAGGATTGAAGTCATTGCTGTGACCTTTGCGTCTGGCCATCATTCAAGCTAAAGCTTGGAGGCTTTTTGACACTGATGCAGCCACTGTTGGGGGGAATCAGAGAATGGAATGTTCAGTGAAAATCAAGAGCGGTGGCCTCATTTTAAAAGCAAACGTAAGCATGTCGCACCTAATATCTGGCTGGAAGAGGAAACTTGCTAATGTTGATGAGGTGGCAGTTTCCCAAAGCCAAAAAGATCTTCTGTTTGGAAGGCAGCAGATTAACCAACAGTTTGATCTCTGCTGCTTACTGGTGGCACAGGGAAACTTGCAAAATGCATCCATGATCAGTTCCTCAGAAATCTGTCAAGTGGCCCTAAGCCTTCCCATCCTCAGAGATGCCTGTGAAAATCCTCCTCAAGGAAGCCCTTCTGAATTCTGAGTCTGATGAGGGTGCTCCTTCTCCTTCAGGTTTGTTGCTGTAAAAAGTCAGGCAGAAATTATGAAGAAGGAAGATAATCACTTCTTACTCTACGGATCAGGTATAATTCACACAAGGTAAGAAAGATAAGGATGTCAGAGCTGGGATGAGAAATTTGCAAGCCCAAGGCAGGGTTCAGAAATGATGCTACTCTCTCCCCCACTATTCCCTGGGTGTGACTATTCTTTGGAAGCTTTTAAACTTTCACAGTAATGCCAATCCCTGAGTAACCTAGAAAATGGATTTTCTGGCATTAAACACCTACATTTGTAAAGATATGTTGAAAAGTGCCACTCCTTGTGCCCCTCCCCATGTCGCATCCTAGATGATGTTTCCACTTGCCTGGCCCTAGTCTCATCTCTAGGACAAAGATAGTTCATAGGTCTTTAGCACTTTAAGGTTTACAAAGCTCTTGATGCACCACAGTCCCGTGAGGTAGATAGTCTAAGATCACAATGCCCACTTTACAGATGAGGAAACTTGAGGCTCAGCAAGGGAAAGTGGCATAAAATATATTATGATATTGTATAATATTAAATACAATTTTATGTATTGTTTATTCTGCTTGGTTTCATTGGTTTTAATATATGCTTTAGAAAGCTTTATATACCATGCGGGTATAATACCTAAAGTTGATTAAGTATGGTGTTTGTGGTTATTTATATTAAAAACTAAATGTCAAGAGTATAATTGTCTTTTGGACTCTAGTAACTCACGCTGATATAGCCTGTTATAGTTACAAAGCACTTTACATCCATTTCCTCATTAGGTCCTTAGAGAAGATCTGTGAGGGAGGTAGTACAGAGATTATTACCCCTACTTTACAGGTGAGAAAACTGAGGCTCAATGTTTTGTTCTCTCTTTATATAATATAAAGATTCCTAAGAGAAGGGAGCTCAGCCGGCAGCCACTGACCCCCCAGTCCCTAACCTTATTTCCTGCTCCAGGGATTGAGGCTCAAAGTTGAATAGCAAGTATGTGACTTAGTGGGCACCAGTCTTGTCACTTGATATCCAGGGCTCTTTCTGTTGCACCACACTTTCTAATGATGTCATTCTCTTTAAGGAAAACCCAGTCAACTTAATAGAGCATTTTTTTTTCAGGAATGCAATTAATAGCATTTAGTACTGTAAGTAGGGGTAAGATCTGCTTATAAAGTAGTGTGCTTCCAGAAGTTGATAGATGTCAGTCTCTTTCATAGCTCTACTCACTAAATATATTAGGATTCCATGACCTCTGACATAGGTGCACCTGTAAGAATAGGGAAGGACTTGGATGTTGCCATGAATGTAGCTCTTATTGACTTTGTAACATAGCATGATTGCTGCCAGGGCCTTCGTATACAGTGTTCCTAAGCTCTCCAGTAGCTTATAGTATAACCCAATGCATGAGTTTGAACCAGAAGAACACACAAAACAGAGAAACATAAATGTAAACATATAGGGAAAGCCACCCAGATAACCTGACCTCTTGCAGCCATGCTACTGTTAGAGTGGGATCTTATTTGGGTCATTTGCTCATTCTCTTATCAACATACTCAGCTTTACAGTCACAGTGTAAGGCCCACCAGCCCCAACACCTACCGTATCTCTCCTTTTCTAAGCCACCTACAAGCAACTTTGAGAAGCTGGTGCCCTTGTTGCAGCTACTGCTTCATCAGATCACTTACCCTCTCTTTGTAGTTGGAGTAACAATGATATAGGACAGGTGGGTTAACTTTTCCAGCTCTCAAATAGCAATAACAATTCTTTGTGGCCTTTTTTGTAAGGAAGAAATGATAACTGAGTAATCTTTGGAAAACTATGTCCAGTCTTCAGAATGTCCTTAGACACTTTTAAACTTAAATGTCTGCTTGTCAGAATGAAGGAAACTTTTCTACCAAGAACTTTTGAAGTAGATGGTTTAGGACAAAGCAGGGATAGATGTGTGCGTTATTTCAGATGTTATACAAATGGAAGGGCAAAGTCTGCCCTTTGGTGAGTCCATATCATTTGGAAGAAGAACATTCAGTTTGCCTTTTGATGCCAGTAGCAGACTTTTTCTTTACTCCTTAAAATGAGTGATAGCCACATATTGGAAAATGTATAGGACTGAAAGTCAGAAGACTTGAGTTCAAGTCTCAGAGGCTTTATCTTTTACACTTAATAGTCAGTGTCACCTTAGGCAAGTCACTTAATTCTTTTGGGTCTGGGATTTGTTATCTGTAAAATGAGGATGGTAAAACTTGCCCTGCCTTAACGATTATGTTATACAAATTGGATGGGGAGTAAGCCTGGTACAATTGAAAAAGTTCTGGATTTGAAATCAGGAAGTCCTTGATTTGAATGCTAGCTCTGCTGTTTATGAGCTGTGGGACTGAGCAGATTACTTCTTTGAGCCTCAGTTAGTATCATATAGAGAAGACTGTTTGAAGATGGGGGCCTGAGCTTGACTTCCTGGCTCTCTTACTGATTGGGTGGCCTTGGGCAAGTCACCTCATCACTCTGGGCCTCTGTTTCCTCCTCTGTAAAATGAGGGTTTGGGAATTAATTAATTTCTGACGTTCCTTCCAGATCTGAAATCCTCTGATACTGTGGAAGAATGCTTGCATTGGCCACCTCACAAGCTAGTGGTAACAAAAGCACTTTGTAAACTGTAGAGTGCTATAGAAAAGTGAGCTGCTATTATCACCATTATTATTATTATCACATGATTAAGGTGTGAGATAAAGGAGAGTAAGTATGTAAAATGCTTTGTAGAACGTAAGGTCCTTGATGGTAAGGACTGTGCTACTTTTATCTTTGTCTAGCACAGTATCTTTTAGAAAGTGGATGCTTTATAAATGTTGTTTTTGTTTGTTTGTAAACCTAACAGCACTATATAGATGTCAGCTGCTATTATTATTAATAAATGTGAAAGCACTTTGGAAACCATAAAGCGCTCTACAAATATAAAGTTGTTAAAAGTTTAAAACCTGCCAAAGACTTCAGAGAGCCCTCATGTATCCCAGTGAATGTCTCTGTTTAAATAATTCTATTAGTGATGTCATGTGCCTGGCAAAGAGTGCCAAGATGAGTCACGTCCCATGTACTGATATAGATGTGAATCTCAGCAGTGTCAGACCCCTTTCCCGTAGCTCAGCACCACTTAGATCCCATCCAGGTCAGCTGACCAAGGGTTAACCACCTGTGAAGAACAGTGAGCAAGAGCAAGGGGCCTGTGGGTTTAGGTTAGCCCACCACTTACAAAAGCTTATTCTTCCTGATTGATGGACAAGTTATTACAGAGTTATCTGGAGCCTCATCACTGGAGTGCCAACAATTTGGATGGCTTCCCTCTGCTGCTTCAATCCTCCTTCACCTCCTGTCAGCAAAGAACATGATCCAACCAAGCAGTCCTGTGGATTGACGGATTCATTATCAGCACTCCCCAGCCCTTTCTCCTGTGATGGACAGGTTTCTCTGGCCTCTAAAGAGGGGCATTCTGGGAAGAGCAAAGTAGCCTTAAGAAATATCATGGTTGGGCAAAAAGAACTCCTGGCTGAGAGTCAGGAGACTTAGTTTCTAGTCCCACTTCTACCACTCATTATGTGACCTCAAAAGAGTCACCTTCCTATCCTAGGCCTCATATCCCACTTGGTAAGATAAGGAGAGTGAAGGGATTAGACAAGGGGTGGGGAACCTAGGGCCTTGAGGCCACAGATTCCCCACCCCTGGATTAGACTGCTTCTAAGATCTCTCAGCTCCAGCATTCTGTGATCTTTAGTCCTTTTTCCTCTCTGGGCCTCACTTCATCTAAAATAAAGATACTGACCTAGGTGCTTTTTAAAGGTCCTGAAAACATTGGTCTATGTTTCTAGGCTGTCAGAGACTTTGGGCCTTCCTTCTGCTTTTTGGTTGTCTCATCCATTCTCCTGGGTATGATAGTTTGAACTTGGGGCTAGAATTTATTCCTATTCCTACTGCAGAAGTTAAAGCCTAGAGAGGGAAGGTGATACCTACAGTCATATAGGTAGTAAGTAGCAGGAATAGGATTCACGCAGGACTTCTGACTCCAGGTCTGATATATGGGTCAAGAATGAGCCCAGAGTCTGAAAATTCAATTCAACAAAGAAATTAAACATTTAGTTTTTTCAGGGTCTTGGACTTTGACAGTGAGGACACAAAGATGGAATGAAAAATGGTAGTTTCCAACCTCAGAGAGTTTATAGCTTAATAGGTAGGATAGATCATACATTTAAATCAGTATAAATTAAGATAGAATGTCAGACAAGGTAGATCTAGTCATATTATTTTAGGACAATTTGAGGAAGAAGAGAATTGCTTCTTTTTTTCTTTTTTGAGGAACAAAGGACAACTTCATGTAGGAAGTGGTACCTGAGTAGAATTTTGAATCAAGATGATATTCGAAAGGGATGGAAGTTTGAACTTCATGATTCACTCAGATTCTGCAGAATAGGGTCCATTTTCTGACACTGAGGCTATTATCTTGGCTTGGGAGCCCATTTTGACCTTTCTTCTCCCGACAACCCAAAATGTTCCTGCCTATCCTTGGTAGGAACTGGTCTCAGGATAGATGTAGACTCAAGCCCAAAGGAGTGGGTGTAGAAAGGGAAGGAAGACTTGTTGCCAGGAAAGAAAAACATGAGAGATCTGTTCTTTTATATGAATTCATACATCTACCTATGATACATACTCCCTTCTTTATTTATAATAATAATAGTAATGATTGTATAGTAAGAATTACAGATCTTCTCTCATATAGTACCCAAGATAGGACTCTTCCCTTTCACAGCCTTCCTGTTAGAGTTTTTTCACAAAACAGCCCAAAGGTAATTTGAATAACCCAATTACCCTGAAGGAAGATAGAGAAGGAAGAGTTATCTGGAAGAGAGTGAGCATATTCTTCCAGGTTCTGTGGTATATTGAGGGGAGGTTTAGTTAATATGAGTAAAAAGTGACAACCTCCTAATGAATGAGGGGGAAGCCAATGGTATAGTCTCCCTGTAACTCTGGGTGGGGATTGAAGATAAACTCATTTGAGTAATTTAAAGGGGTGGGGGGGGGTCGGGGTGGGGGAGAGGCCAGATTTGCATAACACCCCAAGAAGTCTTGGAGTGGGGAAGCAGGAGAGGTGGCAAATGTAAAGCACAGGTGGGCAGCAGAACTCTGAAGCTAAGCCAGAGGAAGTGGAGCAGAGACAATGAGCTCTGCCTATGAAGGGCTCACACAGACCTGACCAATGTAACCAGTGATGCCTGAATAGAGCTGCAGAGGAAAGAGCAACTTGGTCCAAAGAATCTTCAGAGGGAAGCACCCACAGGAAGGTGCAAACCCTCTCCCCTTCTCCCTCTCCAACACCACCCAAGATAGCACTAAAAGACAAGAAGGAATAAGAAGTCAAATTCAGTAACCCCATGTTTGATAATGCAAGAATATAAATCACTTTAGAAAGGGCTCCTTGCTAGGGAAACAAGAAAGCAAGTTGAGAGAAATTAATTTTAGATTTCTACCATGTGTAAGCTTAAAATGGATGTGATCTAAATATGAAAGTTTACTCCATAAAGAAAAGAAAATGACATCAGGTTTATATGAAATTGAAAAACCCTTGAACAAACAAAATAAAGCTAAGAGGGGGAGCTGTCAAAAGTGGGTTAAATCTGCATCAAACATTTTTAACCTTTTGGTGCCTTAGTTTCTTCATCACTAAAATGAGGGGGTTGGACTCAATGTCCTCCAAGGCCTTTTGTAGCTCTAAACCTGTGATACTATGAAAATTCATACAATTATGTGATTGTGAGTCATTCCCCAGGATGAATAAATGATTAAAGAATATGAGTAAATAGTTTTTAGAATTGCGTACTCTTAATAATGAAATGAAAGATTACTCCAAATCACTAACAAGACAAATGCAAATAAAAATAACTGAGATTTTCCCAACCCCAGCAAATTGGCAAAGATGACAAAAGCTGGAAATACGTAATTTTGGAGAAGCTCTGGAAACATTCCACATTAACACACTCTTGGTGGAGCTGTGATTTTGGTCCAACTGTTCTGGGAAACAATTGGAATCATGCTTTTAAGAAAAAAAAGTGATAAGATATCCACACCATTTAATCTAGAGATACCATACTAAGTATTTATCCCAGGAAGGTTAAAGACAAAAAGGAAGGTCCCATCTGTACCAGAATATTGACGACAGCACTTGTTGTGGTCGCAAAGAATGGGAAATTGTAAGTAAGTGCCCTTCAGTTGGAGAATGGCTGAACAAACCGTGGTCCATGAATGTAGTGGAATATCACTCTCTTTCAAGAAATGACTGTGAAGAAGTCACAGGCTTATTCATTTGAGGCTGGAAAGAACGTTAGGCATCGTTTAGTCCTGCCCCTTCATTTTCTAGATGAGGAACTAAAGCCAAGAGAGGTTAAGTGATTTGCCCAGGGTCATACTGCTGGTAATTGTCAGAGGATTTGAACCCAGATCTTTCTAATTACAAGTGCAGTACTTTCTTCGCTACTCTATGTTCCCTCTAGCATGGGAAGCCCTGTGGACTGCAGTGGAGAGAATGAAGCAGAACTTGGAAAATATACACAATGGTTACAACAATGAAAAGGGAAGAAAAAGGAAATAATGTTGTGTGGTTATGACCAAGAAAAGTTCAGGAAATGTACCTTTCTCCCATCTTTGCAGATGTGGGGGACTATGGGTGTGGAATATTGTATACACTCAGATTTGGTGATGTATAGATTTTACTGAAGTGCTTTTCTTTTTCTCATTGTTACAAGGGAAGGGAAAGGGGTATATTTAGAAATAAAGGTGATATAAAAATTTTTTAAAATTATTTTAAAATAAAAATAAAAGACTTTGCGGGGGGCAGGGTTAGCATGCTTGAAGGGGTAAGTATTTTATCTCAATATGGACTTGGAAGAGAATCCTTTCTGTGTTCTTTAATTTATAAATAAATGTGTTCAATATCTTGAGCTTTTTGATCCTGAGTGCTTATAAGGGGAGCTTGTAGTTACACTTGGCCAGCTATGCAATGCCACTGTCAGACCATGCTATCCCACATAGCCATCCTCTCTTGCCATTGTTCCTGCTTTTGCTTTTATTCTTATCACCTGGAACAGTTACCTATGGACTAGACTGCCAAAAACCAACCTCCCTCTTCTCCCTGTCTCTGAGGGAGTTAATCCACTCAGGCCAACCTCCCTAGATTGGTGAGTGAATGAATACAAACTTAACTAGCCCACCGTGTCCAACCCCAAGCTCTGAACCAGACCGTCAGCTCTGCAAATCACTTCTTGCTGTGGGCACAGTAATCAAATTATTACTACTATTATTCCTGGAAAAGTCTTATTATTTGGCTGCCCTATAGATCAGCTTATCGTTACTGTGACTCCCTGCGTACTCCTTTCCTTGGCTGTCAGTCCCATACACATTTGTCTCACTTCTTAAAGTTTTATCCCAAGAACTTAGCCCAGTGTCTAGAACACGGTAAGCATTTAATAAATGCTTTTTCATTCGTTTTGTCATTGACATTCCTGGTTTCCATTTATGAAGGAGCAATGAGAAATTCCCAAAGTAGATCTAGGCCTTTTGTGTCAGAAAGGGTCCCTGCCACGTGGCTTATTTTTTAAAGTTCTTATCTTTATAACACTTTATGGTTTATGTAGTAATTTACAATTTCTCATCTCACCTGATCTCCAAAACAACCTTGTGAGATCAGTAGTACAAATATTCCTCTCCTCATTTAACAAATGAGGAACCTGAGACTTAGGTTCATTTTGCCTAAACTCACCATTTGGTAAGGGAAAGAGCCGGTACACCAGTCTAGGGTCCCTGACTTGAAATCTAATGTGTACAAATGCTTTCATTTTATAGAGAAAGAAACAAGTCTGGAGGAGGGAGATGACTTTGTGAGCCAGGGTTCCTTCTCCCATGCTGCATCTGTCTTCAAAGGAAGGAGAGATACATGTACATTGAAGTAGCTAGATTAGGTTTCTCATGGAAGGTAGAACATGAACATGATAGGCCAGCCTGTACTCTCTAAGACCCTCTCCAAATATTTATTTTTTCTTAGCCTCTAGTATCCAGCATGACATAAGTTCCCCACTATAGCTCTTACTTACTGAATCCAAAGGTTCAGGGGGCAAGACCCTCACAACTGTCCCATGTGTCCTTGTCAGCTGCCCAATTTGTAACCCTAAGTTTGTCATCAGTCTGAGACTCCAACTTGACAGTTTATATAACTGGATGGGAGAGCTATAACTAGGACGTGGTGGCCAAGGCTTTTCTTAGAGCACCAAAATTTAGCAGGTGCAGAATTTCCCACTAAGTTCTCTTTTGATGCTACTGCACCTATCTGAGTGGCATCTTCTTCAGTATCTGCCTTTTGGTCCTCTGGGGTTCCTGTCTTTCCCCTTGGGATTTTCAAGTGCCCCAGAATTTCTCCCTTCATAGGGCTGATGTCCTATGAAGACCCTAGATGGGGTCTTTCCCCACCTCATGCTTGGAATATATGCTTATTACTGCTTTCCTTACGTGCCAAATTTTCTAGTTATGATTCTGCTGGCTGGAAGCTTTCTGGTCTCAATCTTGTTTTCCTGGACTCGGTGAAGTGTCATACATTTTTCTATCCACCTGTTCCTCCCCAGAACTTTTCAAGCCCCATCTACATTTTCCACGCACATTGTATTTGATGTCATGTTTCTAAAAGCAGGGAAAACATCTCAGTCTTGCTTTGGATAATCATATTCCATTATTTCAATTCCTCATCATTAACAACTGACCTCATGTAATGTTGACATTAACATCTCATGTTCCTAATTACCAAGGCCCAGTAACAGAAACTGGGAGGGAGGACTAGGCTTTTGGACCAGGTCAAGCTACGGGGAGCAGAACAAAAAGCCCACTCTAATCAACAGTTTTTCATTTTCCAACGATAGCAACATGACGTAGATCAAAGCACGAGTTGTTTCCTGAGAGCAGGACTTGCCCGCTGCAAAGTTGTAAACTCTACCCAGTATAATTTCAAAGAAAGAGCACTACATTTATAATTATAGAACCTGGACTCTGAAATTGACTCTGCTGCTCACTACTAGTGTGACTTGGGGTAAAATCACTTTTCCTCTGTGGGCTTCAGTTTACCCATCTGTACATGATTAGGTTTGGATTAAGCAACCACTTAAAGTATCTTCTGACTTTAAATCTGTGGTCCTGTGAGATTTTAGGATGAGATAGATCCACAGGATCTGTAACTCAACAATTCTGAGCTCTATCTGTTATTTTACCTACTTTTAGTACTAGTAAAGTCATTTTGAAAAATCCAGCTTTTAGCTGCACGAAGGCAGTTTTTTTTAGGTGCTCTAGGTGTGACTTTGATTATTGAGAGGTAGCATGGTATAATAGAGCTGGTGGCAGTCAGGAAGACCTGAGTTGAAGCCTTGCCTCTAACACAAAATGGTTGTCACCCTGGGCAAGTCACTTAACTCTTCAGTGCCCTTTTCAATTCTAAAAGTTGGAGAAAGGGTGATAATCTCCATTGGTAGATGGTTTCCTTTTTGGAAGTACCAATGCCAATAAAATCACAAGTATGGTTCAAAAAACGTATCCCACTGGATCATAGAATTCGAGCTAGAAGAGACCTCAGGGAAGCAGTAAGTTGGAAGAAATCTTAACTGAGGACCAGAGAAGTCAAAGTCACACAGGTAATAAGTGGCGGAAGTCTCATGTCCTTGTCTCCCCTTACTAAAACATAAGCTCCTGGAGTGCAGGAACTGTGTCTCTTTTGGAGTTTGTATCCTCAGCATTTAGTACACTGCTGGTTCTTTGGTCTCTCCTTGGAGGCAGAAATCAGGCTACACAAGCACCAGGTGAGGAAATCATAGTTTATCCTGGAGAAGAAAAAAGGGGAAGCATGGTCACTATCTCCAGATATTTGAAGACGTCATGGGGAAAAGAGATTTTTTTTTTTCCTCCTTGTCCCAAAGGAGCAGAAAGATTTGGAACTGCAGTGTACAACCAGAACT